CATGTTGTTGCCTTATGCTTACAGGTCGGTTTGCTGACTCAATCCTTACTCACCCTCGATACCTACACTTTGCATCGATCCTTCCACTAAAAGGTATTTCTTATTTCTTGGTCATTGTCAAAAGGGGTTGTGGTTGGTAAAAAAAAATCTTCAATGAGTAGAGTCAGATATGGACGAATGACTAAGTCGGAAAGGTGAATGTCTGAGGTTTGAAAGTGTTAGTGCAATGTGGGTGAAAGTGAACAAATGATTGACTCTGTTATAATTGTGCAATGTGTTTGGGTCCTGTTTTGCATGTCATTAAAATTATTATCCATATTATGGTACTCACTGTGTAACTCTGTTGATAAAATTATGCTCATCTGAATCTCGACTCAGACTCTTATCGACGTGTAATCTTGTACGTGTAGTTTGGATACCCGACTAATATCTTTCTTGATGTTAAGCAGATGAAGATCATTGGCATGTCCAAAAACCTTATACATTTCATATTTCATTAAAGGTCATAAGCCTATCTTGATTTGTGATGCATGATTGAAAGGGCGAGAACCTATGTTTGTTTTTCCTCCAAATGTCAAAAAAATACGCATTCTTATGTTTATTTTTGCTTGTGTAAAAATGTAAAGATATCTCCTTGCATTTAAGTCTCAACTCTTGAAGCCTATTCATTATTAGTATACCTATCGAAAATGATTTGTTTAGCATTAATAACTTATGGGATAAGGGCAAATAGATCAATATGTTGCATACGCGATAGTTCGTTAGTCAAGTCGAACTGAATCTTAAGTCGGTCAAGGAGATCAGCGCCCCGAAGACCGATATTCCAACAAGTCAGTCTTAAGCGTTATACCATGCCTATGTCTGTGCTACAATGATCGAGCAAACGCCTCAACACGGATACGCCTACCTAAGGGTGGTGACAACCCCTCAGGTAAAGGTGAGTTGTACCTCGCGAAACTTTGTCCTGTCGTAGGGAGTCGTGAGAGGTATAGTTGACAAGCACAATCAAAATATTTTTTTCACTGACTCAAAGCAACAACTTACTCATGTATGACACGACCGTGAAGTCCGACACTTACCGCAATGTGTGGGACCGTCGTGCTCGACAACGATGGGTGTTAGATGTAGGGAAAGAAAAAGCCAAAGAGTTGAAAGGTTAAGGTAAAAGAGGTATGATAGGTAGTGATGGTCTACGAAGACCAAGACACTCGATCTAAGAGGTTTTAGTTTAGTTAAAAGGAATGCCCGTCTTTCTAACCAGGATACTCGGTTCCTTAGGGCTATAGTAGGTCACTAGGAGAGTGTCCGCAAAGCTTGGAATTCGTTCCACTAGGTCGAGCTAGTCTCAGGGGCCTAACAGATCGGTAGTAGTAGCTAGTAGTCGATGATAGGATGGTTGCAAACAATTAAACTGTCTCATAATTGCACAATGATTTTATTCTCTGCATTTCCAATTTCAACGGATGTCTCGAAGGACGTTTTGAGGCTCTCTCCTCCAAAGTGTGCCACCAAATGCGTCTATTTAGAATATGATACTTCCTTTTTCGTGTGGTACAAAATTTAGGCATCTGAGAAAATCGGAACGAAAAATTATTACAAAGAAAACAAAAAAGGGAAAAGCCATGTGAACTTGAATCAAAATGAAATCAATTGAAAGCGTTCAACTAGTTGCAACGGTAGAAGATCATGAAAGAGTTCAATGTGATGACGACAAGGGCACCAAATGTGTCCAAACAATGCGACACAAAAAGATCGGGGATGCAGAAGAGATTTATTAAAAAAAAGAAGAAGAAAAAAGACGTAGCCGAACTGAAATCAAAATGAAATGCAGTGCAATGGTTCTCAGTCGAATTGCAAAAGTAGGTAGAAGGGCATGGAGGAGCTGAATCTGGCGACGTTAACAGAGTGAAGAGGCCTTTAATGGCTTGACGATGGTAGGGTGAAGGGGTGGAGGAACACAAAAGAATGATAGCCGACGTGATCCCCTCCTATCTCTTGCAGGCACAACAAAAGAGTGACAGCAACTTGGGGAAGGAGGGGGTAAGCAAAAAGCGATATTTGTTTCTTCTTTTCATTCCCCCCCCGCCCCCCCCTTAAAGTAAATGAGTGAATATAGCAGGGGATTATTAACTTCACATGAGGGCACCGGTGCAAAGCCCATAGTTTGTTTGTTGAAGTGGTTGGGGAAGGGTAAGGTAGTGATTATGTTGTGTGTATGTTTTGTCATGTTGGATATACACAACTTGAAGAGTGTGTTTGTAGGGGGTCCGGTTGGTGCTTTATGCGTGTGTACGTGTGTGACGAACCACTTCACGACCCCGTGTCATCCTTCGTACCCTTTCTTTTTGCCTGTATCATACCAACCCCAGAAAAACCCCGTTTTGATTTCTTGATTTCGGGTGCGGCATTTTCCTTTTTGAGAGTTTTTTCGACTGCTGAAGTTCTGTTTTTTTTTTTGCAAAGTCGGGAAATACATGGGAATTTACGTGCGCCTTAGCGAGCACACTAGGAATTGGGCTCGGTAGTAGGGAATTCCGGGATAAGCGAAACTTCGACGTGTCCTTTTTGGGTGTGTGAAGGTTCTTGGGCGCGTCGGGGAAAACTCTCGGAATTATGCATGAATACGAATAGGCGTACGATTTTCTTTCCCCGCGTCGTTTTTTCGCGCGCGGATATGGTGATTTCAATTTTGAATTAGGATAGAAGCAAGCTGTAACAGTTTCGGTGCCTTTTTTCTTTTTTTTGTTGACGACGCCGTGCATGCAAAAACTTCCTCCCCTCTGTCCCCCGCAACGCTCCCTCCCGCGCCTCCCTTCCCTTCTCCCTCCTTTTTTTCTCTCCACCTAACTGTTTTTCCTTCTCCCTCTCTCTCTCTCCCGCCTTGCTTTCGCATGCCCATTTTCCTTTCTTGATCATCTGAATCTTGGACCCGTCTTGCGCCACCTCTCGCGCCTTTTCTCTTCTCACCCTCTAAGTCTGGCGTAGGACCCCCGGTCGATCCCCCGATAACTCCCTCGCCAATCAGGCGCGTCCATCGATAGGATCTTCCTACCGCGCGATGAATCGGATTGGTTGAACCTTGAGTTCCGAGGGATCAGCATGGCGTTCGTAGAGCACTCTTCTCAAAGTCTTTTCCTCCTTCTCCTCTTACACCTCAGCTTTCCTGTCGCCTTCTCCCCCTTCTATCTCCCCTGTCGCAACTATAAAACCCGCAAGCGCATCCGCAAATCTCTCTTACGTTCTCGACTCTCAAGCCAGCTTCCGGGAAGCAGTGGTTAGGCAAAGTGTTTGAAGCGAATCGAAAAGTTCTGTCAGGCTGACGATAGACTGGTCGGTTGCGAGCTGGATCGCCACGACAGACTGTGGGATCTGGGTGAACCGTGTCGAGTTTACGACAGCGGGGTGACGATCGCAGTGGTGGGAGTTAGCACGCGACGACCGGGATCGTCGGTGCGGGTATGAGGATCGATGTTGAGTTGATTGGCCCGGGGCCATATTGGAATTAACGGCGAATGCGCCTTTGTTGCCGATTGTTATCTTGGGCGTGAGTGTACGGCGGTGACGCCGAACTTTTCTCCTCCTGGATCTTGTCATCTTCTATTTTGGACTTTCTTTCCCTCGACTCTCTCTCTCTCTCTCTCTTTTTGAATGATGATGCGTTTGAATGATTGTCCCTCTCTTGAATAAGAATGAGTTGGCATCCTGCTTCTGTGTGAAAGAACTTCTGGAACTCTTCCATTAGTTTCCTTGGTAATCCTCCTACGCAAGGACCCCGTCTATTTGTCTTGTGAACGGTGGATGCGTGTGTATAGTGCAATGCGATCCATCTTTTCCTGTGCATGTCTCATTTTCGCACCTTCCACAGTGAATGCATGTATGGAGATGCATGACTTTTTCGATTTGATTAGACGAGTGTCGTCGGGATTTTGTTCGAGAATGCAAGAGTGTTTAGATTTGTAGCTCTGTTTGCACTGCACATGCCATCTGCCTTATGATGCACGACATCAGCAACCGAGCCACGAGGAGGCCTTGAGAAACAAGGCGCCAAGGGACCAATGTTGTGTTGAACTGATCGGACCCGTAGCCATACCGATMTGTGATTGTTTTCTCTCTCTTTTGTCAAAAAGATTGATTGGGGGACGCGCGAATCGCTTCTGTTCTTAATGACGTCTCAGGATATTTTGTGACTGATTGACATGTGGACTGACAAGTACCCTTCGATTGNATATTTTGTGACTGATTGACATGTGGACTGACAAGTACCCTTCGATTGTGCGCCAGCCTCCCGGATCTCCCATCCCAACACGACCTTTTCCTTACAGTGAGGAAAGGACACGTGTATGTGAGTGGGACGTACGAGAAGCCGTTGCACAAATCGGCGGGCAGTATTACTTCCCTCCGGCCAACCGCTGCTTTGGGTTCGTAGAAGCCAGGTTTGTTATTATCGATACGCACTTCCTACCTTACTCGGTATTGTTGTCATTTAACGAGTTAATCGTCATTCCGTGGACGGAAGTAGAACCCCACTGGTCGCGCACTCTGTGCACCGAATGCCAACGTTTTGAGCGTTACGAGTCCAGGGGTTTCCACTACCGTGTGTGGAGTGAAGACAAGCATAAAGCAAGAGCCACGCGATTGAGACCCTCCACGTCAGACTCGGAACTAACCAGCGAACGATGACGGGATTTGATACGAAAACGAGACACGCGAAGTGTGCCCAAGCCTTTCTGTTCTAAACGACGGGCTGTAGCCCGGTGGGAGGCACGACAATACTTTTTGGATTGAATTTGGGTCCTTCTCTCTCTTTCCCGCCTTGCCCGCGCGCGCATTCCGCGACGCGGGAAACGATCGACTTGCTCCATCGGACCAACACGGGGGATTTCAGTTTCGTCTGTGTTCCCATACTCAAATTCCAAAAATCCTTGGCACACCCCATCTTGCTGTTTTTGGGGGCCTCTTTTTCGCACAGCTAACACTCGGAACGGAAGACAGCACAGGGCGTGAGGTTGGTATCCGAACCGACACGTGTCGGTTCTGATGATAGTAAGTCGAACTGGCGAGAGGTAGGAGAGACCCTCAACTAGCTCGTCGAGATCGCCCCGTAACCAGGTCTCAGTCTAGTGTGGTCGCACCAGCAATACCAATGGTGGACGGTACTAGGGTGATCGTTAGCATCCCTGCCCCTTTCCCCTTCTTCCCTAACCATACCCATCCCGAGGCTTGGCTGGAAGCCAAGCTCAAAACTACAGCGCAGTCGATCTTCCCCGTGTTCTGATATTACTACTTCGCAACACATCACATGACTGGTTTAGAAAACATACGTGGGTAGACTAGGATACTTTCAAGCGAGCATTCTTGGCTCGATTCGATACGGTTAGTGAAGATGCCGCCTGGTATGTACTCAAAAATCGACTACAAGGACCAGGGGAATTATTGCCCGATTTCGTCGATCGATTTCAAACCACGTTGGATAAATCCGGGCGAGACGAGAATTCCGCTCGAGACTTGTTTATTGATCACCTTCGAAGTCCGACCTTGAAAGGGAAACTGCAGAAAAAGATTCCGCCGAAAACAACCCAGTTATCGGCTATCATCACTAAAGCGTTGGAGCTAGACTTGCCTGATACAAAAAAATATATCAGCCAGGGAAACGAGGATATTACAGATACCATACGGGATATAACGACCAAAAGGCTATCATGGCTACAAGCAGTCGAACGGTTTTATCCCTGCCCCGATCATGACCTTCCCGGCGGAATCGTCTTCGATATCCCGACTGCCTCTCCTCCCTCTCCCTAAGTGAATCAATCAATCGCAGCTGTTAGAAGCGGAACCCCATCCGAACCCCCCTCGCCAGCCATAACCAATTTGCATCTTGCCCAGATGATCCATACGGCCACTACTAAGCAGTCCGAATGGATGAGTAACCTGATCCAAATGCAGGCGGCTCATATGGAGCGAATGAAACAGATAATGATCAGGCTCATTAAGCCTAATCCAGCTCCTGCTCGGCCTGCTCCTGCATCATTTCCACTCTTACCTGCCCCACCTGCTCCAGGGTTCACGCCTCCGTTCCCTCATCTAGCTAATCCAGCAGGGAAGATCGAATGCTTTAACTGCAAGCAGCCCCGGGCATTTCGCCCGGGACTGTCCGCAGTCGAAACGTAATCAGCCTCCCCCTGCTGCGGCCCCCGTTGCCCTTAATCATGGACAAGTGGCCGCTCTGATGGATATGGATCAAGGAAGAGAACTCGTGGCATATGCCACGGAACAGCCTTCCCCTTCGATAGCAACGACATCGACTTCAGGAGCTTCTTCCTCTGACGCCGCCGACGTAGTCGATCCTCTCGAGTATCTCCATCTTGCAGGCATGATCGGAGCAATCCGATCGGTCCCAGACGATCTCGAATGGGTCGATCGCGAATCTAATCCTGGACCACAGTTTCGGACAGGAGATATTGATGTATTGAAAACGCTCAAGCAGTTAGACATCCGCGTTCCTGTCCCCTTAGGGCATCTCCTCACCATATCTGAAGTGGCGAACGATAAGTTTCTACTACATTGCCGAAAGAACCAAAAGTGTTTCACATATGAACGCGTGCAACGGATGTTGAAGAAAAAAGAGGAAAGCGAGGAAGTCGTACCCCCCGAACCAGACACCAAAGAGTCTGGATCCGAAGTCGCGCACATAGCAGCAATCTCTTTAGCGGAAAAAGATCACTTCGTACGAGCTCGGCCAGTAGTATGGAAAAACGCAGAATGTGACTGTGAAGTTTAGGGCAAGCCGTTTAATGCCCTTATTGACACAGGATCTTCTGCAGTAGCCATATAATTGGATACTGTCAAAAAGACGGAACGACTGGGATCTATTCTTACTCAATCTGGCAAAGACAACTATGTCTCCGCCGACGAGGAAGCCATGAACATCGTAGGCATTATCGATAATGTGGCTGTAAAAGTTGGACGAGTACACGTCCTTGTTAATATGCTCGTAATAGATGTACGTTCCTATTCTGTGTTGTTGGGATTACCTTGGGCGATGGCGGTGGGCGTACGTCTGCATTTCAATTCGAAGCAATTGGTGCTCACACAAACTGGGGGAAAACCTCAAACTGTTCCTTTGCGAGTTTCCACCCGAACGATAAAACGGGTCCCTAACTCGGCTCCCATCGGGATGATTCGATACATTGATCCCGAGGAGTGCTCCCCCTCGGACCTCAGTAATGGAATCAGGGAACAGGAATATGAAGAAGAGATGCCCAGTAAAGATGAATGGAAACACCTGGTTTAACTTTTTGAACGAGAAATTCTTAAAGAATTTCAAGTGTGCCCCGAAATTACCCGAAGCTTCCACGTGGAGGCCGAAGAAAGCATGTGCACGCCTCTGACAACCTAGGTCAGTCCTTCGGTTCTCCTTGGGGAACCCATACTACAAGTTTCCCATCTGGGTGATAATTTGGAACCCCCTGAGGGAGCTCTTTTCTTACGAACGCGTTATCAACAAACGGAACAGTATTTAGACGTTTCTGTGTTTTCCACCCCGATCATTACTAACGACAGGAGCCACCATCGCCTTGATTAGACAAGAGGCGGAAGCACCGGTAAGTGACGTGCCGAATCTAATGCAAGAAATGACGGATCTAACAAGACTAACTGTGGAACCGACTTCGGTTGGTTCAGAAACTGACGCAGAAACTAAAGAACCAGAGATGATCAACCCTGTTGAGTCCCAGATGATAGCAACTGTCTTCTCTGTTCGCACCAGTAGTTCCGTTTTTTCTAGTGTCCATGATCGACGGGAACGACCGGTTGATTGGATTGATATGCCCCTTAAGATTTCCGGGGAATCTACAATCACCTTGCCAGACCACGTCCCCGCTGAACTTCGAAGATCGTTAATTTGTGTGTTAAATGGCTACGAAGAAGTATTGAGCATACACGATAACAACATCGGCTTAACTAATGTGATGGAGTCTGCCATTCTCACGGGAGATCATCCACCCATTAGCTGCGCTCCATACTGATACTCGTCATCTCAAAAAGCTGCCGCTTTTCAGCGGATTAAGGAGTTCGAAGTTAATGGATGGATCGAACCCGCTATAGGACCATGGTCTTTTCCTGTAGTGATAGTACCCAAAAAGGCTGGAGGGATTCGTATTTGTATTGATTATCGAAAATTGAATGATATCACGATTAAAGATGTGTACCCCCTCCCCAGATTGATGAATTATTGGATGCGATTGGGAGTGCGCGATTTTTCAGCAAGTTTGATGTTCGCCATGGATTCCATCATCTTCTTGTCTAAAAAGAAGATCGTCCGAAAATCGCGTTTGTGCTTTTCGAAGGAAAGTGGCAATGGATTCGATGCCCGATGGGTATCTACAACGCCCCTGCGACTTTTCAGCGGGCCATGAACATGGCTTTTCAGAATTTCGCACGGAAGACTCGTTTGGCACAGAGCATCATCAACTACTGCGTGATTGTGTACATGAATGACATCCTGGTGTATTAGAGTTTCTACGAGGGACACGTGCAGCACATCGAATGGGCACTTCATGCGTTACGAGATGCAAGTTTCAAGGTGGCGCTTGAGAAGTGTCAGTTTTTCCTCACCACCATTTCTTTCCTGGGGCACGTGGTGACAGACAAGGGACTCCAACCGGAGCCGCAGAAGGTGGCAGCTGTCAGGGATGCGCCAGTACCTACCACTATCACGCAAGTTCGCGCCTTTCTGGGCCTAACCTCGTATTACCGAAGATTTATCAAGGGCTTCGCGGCGATTGCGGGACCCCTCACAAATCTCCTTCGCAATGATCAGCCGTTGATCTGGACGCCGGAGTGCGATCAAGCGTTTTCCAAACTCAAGGCTGCTCTTATTTCGGCTCCGGTCCTTATAAGACCGGATCCCGAAAAATGTTTTGTTCTCATCACCGACTGGCAGCCAGAGGCGATCTCGGCGATCCTTGCCCAGGTGGGACCGAACGGACTCGAGAGTGTAGTGGAGTATGCGTCCAAATCAGTGTCCGCCTGCAAGCGCAATTACGCCACTCCAACGGGTGAATGCTATGCGGCTCTCTGGGGAATCAGTCACTTCCGTGTGTACGGGCGAAAATTCACCCTGGTGACTGATCATGAGCCCCTGTTGGCTCTGAAGAAGTCGAAGGATTACTCGGACATGATCGGACAATGGGCAACGGTGCTGCAGAGCATGGACTTTGACATTCGTCATCTAAAGCATGAGAGACACGGGAATGCGGACGGACTGACACGACTTCACCGGCCTGATAAGGTTCCAAAGGGTGAAGAGGTAATTCCGTGGAACGAACCCGAACAGGATATCAGACCTCGGTACGGCCAAGTGGAGATCTTATCGAAGCCGTAAGTGATACGAGGACTAATTGTTCTGTTCTGCTCTCCCTGCATCCCCTCCTCCTCTGCCATCATGACTACCCCACTCGGCTCCGCAATCCCTTCTTCTCCTATTAACTCTGCCCATCTCACTTCCTCGGCTTTCTTCGCCACCCTTCCCGATAAATATTGTTATTTTTGCACGTGTATTGCACGAGTTTATGGGGTCGACTGTCATCCCTTCGAGACCGGATTTGTGGATTGGGTAGAATGTGCCACGTGTGTCAACCGTGCGCACGGTGCCTGCGTTCGATATCGGACGAATAGCAAGGAATGGAAGTGGCCCCTGTGTAGAACGAACAAGCTCCCCACGGAGGTTCGATTCGAGGCCGCCCGTACGGACGGCCCTGAATACGACGAAAAATACCGACGAGCGGAGGTTTGGATGGATAAAATTTTATTAGCAAAATTAGCAGGATTATCATTGGGCCACCTCACCAAACACGACAGACATAGGGCAATCGAGAGATCTCGGGACTATCGATGGATCAACGGTCATTTGGAAAAGCGT